GGGGGTGTGTGGGGGGGGGGGGGCGGGTTGAAAGGACGGGATGCGCTGGGGAGGGCGCAGGGCAACTGAAGCGCGGCGCTGGTTGTCAGGCTGCGCCTTGGTGTGAAAGCTCCGTCAGCTTTTGAGGCCTACCTGAAGTGCTTGGCTCCATGATGACGATCTGCATGCTGGCCGCGATCATCCCCTGCGCTCATCACCGCCTCAAACTCACCTCCGACTCCACCCACCCACCCGAGCAGGATTGGTGGTCTGATGATGTACGGTGTGCCCAACATGAAGACCGACAAGATCGACGTGGTGCAGCGCCGCGTGGACCTCATGGCCGCAGAGGTGGGGCTGATGGGCCAGGGGGAGAGAGAGTAACGGGGCTCATGGGATCATTGCTGGGGTGCAGGCTGCCGCCTCATGACCACCCCTCAAGCGAAGCCCCGTGCACATGAGCGTGGTGCGCCTACCACACGTGGCTCTCCCGCTGTGGGCTCACCGTGCCCCCTCTTTACGCCCGTGACTTCCCCCCCTCAGGGCGTCAAGTTTGTGGTCAACGCGGCCGTTGGCACTGACGTGCCGGTGGAGAGCCTGGTGGGCGGCCACGACGCCGTGGTGCTGGCCGCGGGCGCCACCAAGCCGCGCGACCTGCCGGCCCCCGGGCGTGACCTCCAGGGCATCCACTTTGCCATGGAGTTCCTCACGGCCAACACCAAGTCACTGCTGGACAGGTGGGGGGATGGGGCTGTGCCTTGTGCAGGATGGTTGGTCTTGGCGTGCGAGGTTCTGGATGCGTTCAGGTGTGGAGGATTCGCCTCAGGTTGCATCTCACCAAACTGCTCGGCATCTGTTGATGCACAGCCGGGACCTGTGGCATTGTTCTGGCTGCCCACCTCTCATTTCTCCTGTGAACCCCTCCATCAACTATCACCCTCAATCCCTTGCCTTCCACAGTGGCCTGAAGGACGGCAAGTACATCAGCGCTGCGGGCAAGAAGGTCATCGTCATCGGCGGCGGCGACACCGGCACGGACTGCATCGGCACCAGCGTGCGCCACGGTGCCTCCCGCGTCATCAACCTGGAGGTGCGGCGCGGGGAATGCGCCTGGGGCAGGTCAGCGGAGTTGTGGGCACCGCAAGTGTCGTGGTGTCTCCCTGCCTGCTGTCCCCTTAACCTAGGACCCTCACGCTGACTTCTGGGTTTTTGTCTCCCCACACCTCCCTTGTGACCCCCTCAGCTGATGGGCAAGCCCCCGTCGACGCGCGGCGCGGACAACCCCTGGCCCCAGTGGCCCCGCATCTTCCGAGTGGACTACGGCCACGCCGAGGCCGCCACCGTGTACGGCAGCGACCCGCGCCGCTACGGCGTCATGACCAAGCGGTTCGTGGGTGGCCCTGACGGCAAGGTGCGCGGCGTGGAGATTGTGGACGTGCGGTTCGAGGAGGACCCCGCCAACCCCGGCCGCAAGAAGCTGGTGGAGGTGCCCAACAGCAACCAGGTGGGAGGGAGTGACGCGTGTGTTACTGTGTGTGCATGGATGCGGCAGCCAAAAGGCAGGGTGTCAAGGAGGCGGCAATTGGTCTGAATTATGAGGCAAGCATGGCAGGTACAGGCGGTTGCTGTGCTTGTAGCATTGGCTTGCTAGATTAATGCACTGCAGCCTTGCACCCCAAAGCCTGCGATCCTGCACCAACCGCTGGCACATTCTCCATGCAATGCGTGCGTTCTCCCCCCTCGTTTCTTCCCGCCAGCTGCTGGAGGCGGACCTCGTGCTACTGGCCATGGGCTTCCTGGGCCCCGAGGAGAAGCTCGCGCAGGCACTGGGCCTGGAGCAAGACGAGAGGTCAAACTTCAAGGTGTGTTTAGGGGGAGGAGGAGGTGCAGCACGAGCAAACGTCATGATTGCTGAGGCGTGTGAGGGGCTTGGCCGGGTTCTGGCTGGGTAGCTTCAGGACTAAGGGACATGTGGGTTGCTGCCCTCACCAGGTGTGCCTTTCAGATAAACGTTCTGACTCCGCCGGCTCCTCTCTGCTCACGTTCTCACACCACCACAATCCCAGGCGACCTGGGGAGACTTTGCCACCACGGTGCCGGGAGTATTTGCGGCTGGCGACTGCCGCCGTGGGCAGAGCCTCGTGGTGTGGGCCATCCGCGAGGGCCGCGACGCGGCCGCGGCCGTGGACCGCTACATCACCCGCACCAGGGGCCCCGGGCGGCAGCTGCCGGGCAGCGCCGTCAAGGGGGGCATCTACGACCTGCAGGACCTGCCCGGAGGGGAGGTACCGCGCGCATCAACCGGCGCAGAGCCCCTGCCCGCACGCCGCTGATGTGGCAAGACGCAATCGGTTGTGAGGAGGCCGTGGGGCCCCTGCCCCGCTTGTGCGGCTGTCAGGCACACTCGCCCGGCCGTGCAGATGGCCTTGCTCGCTCGGCTCTGCTGAAGCTGGTGTGTCTGGCGCAGCCAGCACAAGGCGGATGATGGCTGTGCAGGGTTGCGTGCTGTCGCGTGTATATATCGCACAGCCCTGCGAGCCGTACACCTCCTGCTGGTGGCGGGTGGTGGGTTGCACCCGCGGCGAGGCCCAACACCCGCGCTGGGTGTGCGCCCTTGATGCGACGCTGACAGTATCTGGGGCGAGTGAACCCGCTCTTCTCTGGCTGTCAAGGCTGACAATCACTGCATCGCGCTCTGGGTGCTCGCTCACACACCCATGAGGGCCGAGAAACTGCAATGCAGAGGCCATCATCACACTGGGAGCTGGACGCATCCGAAGCCTTTACATGACGCCGCGATGTGTGCGCATGTGTTTGGTTGTTTGAAACAGGCTGGAATTGATTTGGACGGGGTAGCAATCGAGAGCCCGCCTACTGGCCTCGCATGCCCCTGCACATGTCAGCTCTTTTGTCATTTGGTGTGCTGCACGTTTGGCGGCTCTGCCTGCCAGTGGCGTGTGATGCCCAACCTGCTGCGCAGTCTTCACACTGCACGCAGCTGCGTGTCTCTTGAGGACAGCCCAAGATTGGGTCACTCCAGCAAGGCACCAACATCATGCAGTGCCTTCTACCGGGTTCAAACCCCTGTGGCATCACTGATGTGCATGTATCCAGCACAGTGCCATTCTGGTGGTGGGTGTGTGGTTCACCATGAGTAGGCCGTACCACCATCGCCCTCAGGGGCGCAGGCGGTGCAGGCTGCTGTGGATGTACACTGTTGCGGCATCATAAGTGCAGCCGGCTTTGCTCTTTGAAGCCGGTGTCTGGCTGCGGCATCATATATGGCTGTTTGTGTAAAATGTTCTCGTGTTTTTCCAGCAGGCCTTGGTCTGGACGCGGCTGCGGCTGTCAGACAGGCCGCAAGAATGCCTGACGGCCCTTACTCTGAAGTGCACTGCTTTCAGGGCAGCTGACGGCCTTTGCTTTAAGGACGGGTCAGTCCATGGGCATATGTGAGGCCGTGCTTCGGCCCATTCCTTATTATACGTGGTAAACATGCGAAATGGTGCTTAGCAAAGTGCTGGATGATTTTTCATGCACGGGCACGACCGCAAAAATCACCACATGCACGTCAAGGGCCCGCGTCAGCCAGCACGCAACACCCGCAGCTGCACGTGCAGCAGCCGCTGTGCGCGCCGATGTTGCCGTCATGGCTTGCAAAGACTCCAGCGCGGGCAGAACGTATGCGAAGTCATCTTTTTCGTTATCACTATTGAAACAACCTCGGCGTGCCAGCCCTGCGTCAGCAACAGCCTATCAAAAACAGCTCGGGCCTCGACCGGCGAACAAATATGTCGACGGGGGAGGCGAAAAGAACGGTCCTATGGGCTTTCTGGACGCTCAATCTCGTGAGAGGACGGTGCTGTCGAGCGCATCTCAAGCGCGATCGGGCTTCAAAATGTTGACCAGAGGGCTGTGCCTATCAAACGTACTCGCAGCTTGTTGACGCCGTTTATGTCATCATGTGCTGGGCAACCGCGGACAACCTCTCGCGGGTGAGCATGGCAGCCAGTGAACCGAGCGGCAACAGCAGCGCCGCTGCGGCGCATGTGGGGCATGTCGATTTGTGCCTGGGCGGCGAGTGCGGCGCACTACATTTGCACCCTGCTATCACCATACATACTACCGTGCGGGTGTACACACTGCATGCACCCAAGCACTGTGTCCATGCAAATCCGGCGCACGTGTGACCAGGCATCAGGCAACCTTCACATTGAGAACGGGTGGAAGGACGTCAGCCAGACAGCCAGAGCATTTGTCAGCAACAACATCTGGAGGGCGCCCATTGCAGCGTGTGCGCTTGGGGGACTGATGGTGGTGCTCTTCAACGTGCTCAGCTGCCTCGTGCTCGTCAGGTACGGTGTGGCCGGCAGGGGGGATCGTTAGCAGCTGCATGGCAGTTGCATATTGCCTCAAGCGCAGCATCAAGTGTTGCTTAACACAGCTTTTCTGTAGCACTCCAAAACGGCCAAGTGTGCAAAAGAAGTGGTGTTGTGGGGCAGCGGATTCCACTTGCTTGTTGGAGCGCTGAACGCTATTTACCTGCTGCTGGGTCGCAGGCGGTCAATGGCGCGCACAGGCCCAGGCTTTGGCTACGGCTTTGGTGAGCGGTTGGGGCGGTGAATGTGGTTGCCGAGCATCTGATTGTTGTGTGGCTGCTGTGCCATGCAAAGGGGCAGGGTGTGGGCGGGGCGCCATCCTGGCAGACCTAAGCTGCTGCGCGTTGTGCACTGAACATGGATCAGCGCTTGAAGGATGCCGCACCTTACTGGCGTCCTTCCCCGACAGTGGTGGCCTGGGCTTTTGTGATGTCATTCTTCACCCTGATGTGCGGCCTGATCCTGGAGGGCTTCAAGGATGTTGTCACCACGGAGCTGGAGAAGAGTGAGTGGCCGGGGAGACAGGGTGGTCTGAGAGCCACAGCTGGGAGGGCAAAGGGCGCGAAGACAGAAGGGATGCATTGCGAGGGGGGCCAGGGGTACACCCCCTTACCTAGCCCAAGTGCGCTGGTCGGGAACACAATGCCACTCTTTAACAGACCAGCGGCTATCATCTTTATATGCCACCCTGCTATTCACATCCCCCCCTCTCCAGCTGAGAACTGGACCCAGCTGGCGACAGGCGCTTTCCAGGCGTGTTATGGCTTCTCCTACGTGGTGGCTGCGCTGTTCATGCTCTTCTTCCTTATTCTGCTAGTCTTCCAGGGCGCGGTCACCAAGGAGCTCGGAATCTACGACCAGATGCAATCGCAAAAGAGGCTGGCGGAAATGAACGCGCTTGCGTCAGGCGGCGTGCACATGAATCCCTTGCAGGCAGGGCCCATTTGACAAGACCCCAGTCCACCACTCTGAGCGGCCAACTGCAAAGTTGCCCTCACAAGTGTCCGATAATCGGGCATGTGGGGGGGTCACGTGTTCAAGGTCCACGGGCCGCGACACTCAAAAATGAGGGCAGCAGAGTGCTTGGCTTGGTTGGCCAATGTTCACATAGAGACATCGTCAGTTGCGGCAGGTCGCGCACCTCGACATCACTCTGCGTGACAGCATGGAGAGGTCACACCATCGCTCTGAGCACACACACACACACTCTACGAACGCTGTAACAGCGGTCACGTCGTTTTTGACAGCCTTGTTTACTTGAAAGAATAACTCGCACTTAGATGGGGTTACCAGACCCGACGGATTACGCCGATGCGCAAACTGCATGATGGACACATCTGTTGATCTCCCTGCCGCTTCACAACAAGCGAGGAAAAGCCAGGCATGACAGGTGTTGCATACAAGTGCATCAGGTGCAGAACGCAGCATGTGCTATCGCCACCAAAGTTGTGTGAGGTCCTTGCAGCAGTTGAGCCAGCTCTGCTTTGTGATGGGAGGGGTGTGGCCACCTTTCAATGACTGCTTTTTATGATACATATGGTATCACGCAGACTGTGTGTACACACACCCAGGTGGCCGGGCACAGACAACGTGACAGAAAGGACTGAAAGAAATCTAATGAACAGAGTCGCTGAATCAGGCGCATTTATTTGACAGGCAGCAGAGTCCCCATTTGCATCATGTAAAGGGGCGAGGCGAGGAGTGCCGAGTGAGTACCGGTGCTAAGGCTAGCAGAAGCCAAGCAACGGGCTCTGCCCATCCACATCAGGCCACACAACAGTACAGCCAAGAATACCACAACATACAAAAGCGGCAGCGCAGTGTCACTGGAAGCGCTCGTGGGCGCGAAGCACGCACACCCAAACCAGCACACACATCCGTCGGCCGTGTGCCCTGCTCCTGGCCAGTTCTTCCTTGTGGCCTCCAGCTCGGCCTGCCGGGCCTCGGCCGCCGCGCGTGCCGCGCCGACGTTGGACAGCCGCCCGGCTTTGGCCTCAGAAAATGCCATTTCAAGGGGCCCAGCTCCTTGGTGATCTTGACCCCAAGCCCTGGACCATTGCCAGCTCAGTGTCGCGCGCCGCAACCTCCGCGCTCGCTGGCGCGTTCGGCGGCGTGTGCTGCCGCTCTGGACAGGCGGCCTGCAGGCAGTGGATCGGCGGCTGGGTCAGCCGCTGGCCACCAGCTGCGCCTCGCAAGCCGCACGACCACAGAACACCACACGCAGAGAGGCAACAAATCTGGCCCGCTTGCGCCCGGGGCGCGCCCGTGCCGCCGCCCGCCGGCAGCTGGCTTGCCTGCCGCTGAAGTGCCGCCCCCGCCGCGTCGCGACACTTTGCTAGCTCGCGGCGCATGCCTTCATGGCGCGCACGGGAGGCGTCCATGAAGGCCGTCATTTACCTTTGATTAACGGAGGGCTGTTGAAACTTGTTGCTGCAGATTATGTGGTAATTGAGTGAGAGGCTTGAATGGTGACAAGGGCGCCGTAAACACGCCGCGTGTGGGGCAACAACTCGCTGTCGTGGCCCAACATTTGCATTTGCAGCGGTACAAGGTGTGCAGGAGCAGATACACTGCTCGCTTCCCCCCTGGCACAATGAACACACCCTCATCGCCTTGCGTGCGCGTCCAAAGCAACTGTTGCTGTCGGACGCCACCGCCATCGCCGCCGCCGCCGCCTGCCGCGCCGGCCTGCTGCTGCCGCGCCTCCGGTTCTGGAGGATACTTGTGCACAGCGACAAACCAATCCAGCTCAGCTGCAGTGTTGTCCCGCCTCACCTGAATGGCATGACATCAAGTGAATGAGGCGTCTTTGTAGTCTCTCTCTCTCTCTCTCTCTCTCTCTCTCTCTCTCTCTCTCTCTCCTCGCCACTGCCAGCCAGCGGGCCCATGGTGCAACGCAACACACTCATGCACAAACACACATATCCACATGCAAAACTCTGGACCTTACGATTGGGCAAACCTCAGCCCTGAGCCCTGCCTTGTTCAGCACAATATTTTAATCCGCCAGCAAATCCTGCAGCGTGTGGACCTGCGCTGCTGCTCCCCGGCCCGCAAGTTCTCGAGGGGCGGCGCTGCCTGGCGCTTCTGCAGCCCCTCAACATCGTCCCGCAGCGGCAAACGTGGTTGCGTGGGCCACGTACGCGCACCAATCCAAGTGCAGTCGCCCTAGCATGCCATCACACACAGATGCATGAGAAGCATGTGCTTCATGCTGGAAGAGAAGGTTGCCTGCGCTTCACGCCCACAGCGCGACTGCAAGTACGGCAAGCACCGCGCCGCCGCTGGGCGCGGCGGACCACCCCCTGCCTGCGCTGACGACGGGAGCTCACCGTGCACGCGAGTGTGCGCCACACCTGCAGCTTGTGCGTCACATGTATGATCTCCTGGCACGTCAGCCGCAGCGGGCTCAGGAAGTAGTTGTGGTCTAGCACCTGACAGGGTAAGTGGGCCTGACGGTAAGAGTTGCAAGCCGCAGATGCAGGGCTACTTCAGCCAGCAGCGGTGCGAGCGTGGCGCCAAGGCAGGCTCTGCACATGGGACCAAAGTCAAGAAAGGAGCCGGACCTGCACGGCTGCCATGAGGCCTGCCGTGCCCACCTACAGGCCGCCCGCGGCGCTCCCAGGCTTGGCTTGCCCGCCGACGCCTTGCTGCGTCAGCGGGCGTGCGCTCGACGCCGATGTGCCGCGGGCCATCGCCGCCGCATCGCCCAGCACGCCCCTGCACTTGGTCTCTGTTCCTGCAGGGTGTGCCGTGCCGCCGCGAGCGCCGCAAGTCGCCTTCTGCAGTGGCTGCTCGGTGGCGGCCTGCTGTTGGCGTTGATTGTGTTGGGCCTCTGGGGGCGCTTGATCAGCGACCCCATGGGCGCCTTGGAGATGTACGCAGCAGCCAGCGCCAGCGGGCCTCGCAAACCGGGCCTGTCCATGGCTAGACGCGATGCGCGCTCGCGCGTGCGCCCAGGCGGTCAATGTTTGTCGGGGTGCAGCGGTGCGCCAGGAGCCTGCCGCCCAACAGATTAGCCCGGTGGTCGATCCAACGCCCTGAAGCACCGCGCTAGCGAATGACGGCTCCCGAGCGCTGGGCGTCGAGCCTCAATCGGGGTCGCTTCCACCCAACGCGGTGCAAAATGACCACCCAGGGGTATATGCCGGATGTCTTGTCCGAGCAGTATGCTACATTGTGATCCTTACATAACAGTTGTCACGCTGCAGAAGCCGCCTGAAACACACACCGTCACCAGAGCGGTCTAGTAGAGTGACAAGTCAAGCCCGCGTGCCACCCCGTGCAGCACACCATTAACTTGAGTCTGGCACGGCTGGCGCATCTTGTTATCACTGGAGGCCATTTCAAGGGGCTCGCAGAGAACGCATGCAGGACGGCCATGAGGGGCCCGCGGGCCCCCCTAGGCGCTGCCCTCTGGTCATAGCGCTCCTATTATGTGGATTGGTACGTGGAAGAGACAGCAGCGTAGCAGCTGCAGGGTATCTGTGGCCTGCAGCTGCCACCACACCTGCCATGCGCGCTGGTGCCCCGAACGGTCTGTGCTACCGGGGCCACTCCCTGACAAGGCAATGTCCACCCGCGCCTGTCACCCACTGCTCGCTGCCCGCTCGTCACCTGGCGGCCCCTCGTTCGCTTCGTTGCTGCGCCGCAGGCCGGCTACGCGCAGGCCCGCACCCCCAGGGTCGCCTGCGACCTCCGGGACCCGCTTTGCTCCCTCAAGGCCCGCTTCATGTTTGGGGCCGCCGTGATCAACAACACAGCCTACTACAGCGGCGGCCTTGACGCAAACAACCCCACGTACCCTCCTAGCGGCAGCTTCCTCGAGGCCGTTGACCTCGGGACCCTCGCACCGCGTACGCTGCCGACGGTGCCGGACGCCCAGCTGAACACCAGCCGGTACCGGCAGCAGCTTGCGCCCTGGGGCGATGACAGGATAATCATGGTGGGCGGCCAGTTTGACGACCGCAACGGTGTCAGCCAAAAAGCGATGACAATGGTGACCCTTGACGTGGCGAATCGCACCTGGCAGCTCAAGCGCTCATTCTGGCAGGGCAACGGCGGTGAGCCCGTTGGAAGTACCGTCTCTGTATGTGAGCGAGGCTGCCCATGCCATCGTGCAGACCCGGCTGCAACGCGACGCGCCTTGATCTTGCCCCCACGTGCTGCTTGCCCTGGCGTCAGGCTGTTGAGACCCATAGCGGTCAAACTAAATTGTCTTCCCTGGTACACGCACGCGTGCGCGCGTGCACACACACACACACATACACACACACGCGCACACACACACACACACACACACACAC